CATGGGCCAGTGAAGCGATGTCCTCCACAACTAGACTGAAGAACAAAAGGACAGCAACTTGTCTGTTCCCCTTCCCCGATTCCCCAATAAAATCTTAAAAAAAACACAAAAAAACCCCAGGATATGTTGAGGAAGAGGGATGTGTCAAGTCTATATCCCAATATTTGAGCATGGACAGAGGAATGCAGGACCCCGAAGCTCTTCCGACATCCCTGAGATCCTGTAGATCCTGTCTTCCCCCACTCGTGTTCCTGATCAATACAAAAGAAAACCCTGCGCTCACCAGCTGATAAGGCGCCCATTGCACTCCAGGCTGAAATCAAATTATGGTTGCCATAGTTTTCTCTTCTAGAAGGTGGTTCAGTGACCCTGACATCTTTGGTGATACTATACTCGGACTGAAAGTACATTTGTTGTTATAAGTGTCTGAGACAGTTCAGAGAGTCTCATTTGCTTTTGCCACCTCCCTGTGCAGTAAAGCCGAGACAGGTTTTTCTCTGTGCTTCGATGAACAGAATGACCTGTATAAAAACCACGTTTTTATAGACTCCAAGGTTTCCTGGGACAACATCTGTTGTCTGCGTGTGTATGTTTGCTCTAGACCCTGCTGCCTTCCATAAAGTAGAACAGAGTGCTGTGTAAACACTGAGCTCCCTGTCAATCCTAGGCTGTGGCTCAGGAGAGGTGCGTTCGAGTGAAATCTAGGTTTGGTGGGGCAGGAGGTAAGCGTATGGGGGCTGCGACGGAGGGTGCAGGGGACAGAGCAAGTGAGCTATGAGGATGAAAGGCGGTGCTCTGTGTGTGTCTGAGGCTGAGGTTTCAGAGGTGCTGCAGTGTTTGGTTGTGTGAGTGGGTGGAGCTGAGAAGGTGAAGGAACCAGGAGGCCATGGCAACATGCAGAAATCCAATGGGAATTGTATTCATGCACGAAAAAATATGCCTTCCTTGATTTCCTTCTGCTGCCCTCACCAAAGGAAGGAAAGCCAACACTCACTGCCAGGACTTGAGGGGCCAAGAACCCAGGGAAAGGGGTCTGTAGGGAGGTGAGCCCGACATGCTTGCTGTTCTGCCATCCAGGCTTCACGGCTTCTGTGAACCCTAACGACCCCGGCATGAGAGGCACAGAAACCAAGCAGAGCAGCTGCAAGGAGGCAGAGCAAACCTGCCAGCAGTGTCACACAACTGGGGGGGACAAAAGGTAGAGTTGTGTGTCAGCCAGGGAGGAAGGCCCAGGAAGCACCTAAGCTTATTTGGAAGAAGGGCCAACTGGAAATAGACCAACCCTCCAAAAGTTCGAAATGCAATTTGAGGTGGGAACGAGATTAGGAATGGAGGGGTCAGATGTTCACAGAAGGAAATAGTTAACAGACATAGGGGTCCCCATAACCCCCTAATTGTCCTAGGAAGACCAGTGAGAATGTGCTCCCCCTGGCTTAAACTTCCTGAGGCCCTGCCAACAACTCTTCATTTTAAGCTGGGAGCAAATTTTCACTTGTTGTATTTGATCGTTGAGCTTGCAGTATAAAAACATTTTACTGGATAAGATTTCCTCAGGTGAATCAAGGCTTTTCGAGGTGGATTTGTTAAATGTCGAACAATAAAGTATTTGTAGAAATTAGAGGTGAAAGTGACAAACGTGTTTGTGTTGGCAAAGGGGCGTCTTCAGTCTCAATGCCACTCCCCTGCCTCCTGGTGACTCTGTCCATTTGGGGTTTTTCCATTGCAATCTTAGGCTTCCTTTGATCAAGAACTTGGCATAACTTTTGTTTTTTTGTTTTTTTTCGTGTCTCTCTTTCTTTCTACTTCAGTGCAATGGCCTAACAAATTCTCAGGTAGTAATGGCTACTGACAAAGAGGAGAGGTCAATACTTACAGGGTGGCGAGCATTAAAGACACTCAGTAAAGCCCCCTCAGAACTCTACAGTCCGCGTTTTACAAAGAGACACCCAGAACACAGAGACAGTAAGTGATTTGCTCTTAGAATCTGGGAAGATAGGAGGCAACAGTCAAACCCACCCATGGTCTCTCGAAGCCCATGCATGGCCTTTTCCGTGTAGCTGGTGGCCTCGTCACCACGCTGGGGTGGCACATGCTGGTACATTCATCAGCGCCCTGGACGTTCATAAAGATGAGAGGAAGTCACAACATTCTGCTAGATTCCAGCCTTCACTTTGCTGGCTGGTCATTCATTCCTTTGCCCAGCAGATGTGTAGGGAGGACTGCTGTTCATTAGGAGCTGGGCCTTCAGGGAGGAAGGGACGCACAGAGGTCATGATCTAGGAGGGCGGTGGACAGAAGGCCAACAGTCACGCTGCAAAGTGGTAAGCAGGCAGGCGGTGCTGCAACAGACCCACTGCCGAGTGCCCCAGGGCACCAGGGCGAAGCCCTGGAAACCCAAATGCTAAATAAGAGACTAGCTCATTGTCACGGCCAGATACTAGACCCGTTCATCAGCCATTTAAAATAATGTTTCTGGAGGTGTGAAAAAAGAATGTCCACCGTACAAGGATGCCCCGTGAAGAAGGCCGGCTGCCAAACTGCATCTGAGGTCTGGTACTAGTGATGTGATTTATAAACCAAATTCTATCGGACGTTATCTGATGTGCAGATGGACTGTCTCTCTGCCTTTCCGCACCTGCCCTGTGCCTTACCCTGGAGGCTGACCCGTGTGGGGGGCCCTTGACCTCTGGCTTCTGGTTGGCTTCCCCGAGTGGAAGGCGATTGGTTGGAGGGAAGGAAGAGGAGTGATGACTGAGCTCCCCTAATTCCCTCCCTGCCCGGTGGCCCCAGCCTGGCTGGATCCTCACCACCACAGCTCTCAGCTCCTGCAGGCTCGGAAACTGCAGCCCTGCACCTCTCAGGCCTAGGGAATAAAGGTGGGTACCTTGCAGGTATCAACTCCGAGGTTCCTCACCATCTTCCCTGCTTCCTGTCCACACCCTTGTAAATGGCCGTGATCAACCTCAAATGACCTAAGTTGTGGGTGACAACTGGTTTGTGGGTCATTCTTTGCTAGCTTTCTATAGTAGTTATCTTTCGGGGCATCTGGCCAACTCAAGATGCCTCCTTTTTGGGGAGAACCATCTCTAATCACAAGGATGGACCCAGCATCCATGTTTGTACCCAGTGACTCAGATGACTGGGCGGAGTGGAGAACAAAGACCAGCTGGGCTGAGCTGATGCTTTCTTCAGAATGCTGCCCGGGGGGCAAAGAAAGAGGGAGGAAAGAAAAGAGAGAAGTAGGACAAGAGACAGCCCGGGACCCTAAGGTCCGTGCAGACCTCATTTCCATCCCTGTCCTGAGACCTGACACCAGGCTGCCTTTGAAACCCTTGATGCAGCCCGATAGCCTTGTAATAACCCCCTTCTTAGCATACGTCAACTTGAATTCGTTTCTGTGGCTTGACACCCGATAAGTGCTGAATATTACAATCATGAACTAACGTTCACAATTAGAAAATAACTACACAAGGTATATTTTTAATGGTAAATCATTCTAGTCACACAGGAAGCAGTAAAAACACATCGAGTCTCGTGTACCCTTCACCCGCACCCCATGGAGTGGAAGTAGTCTGGCTGCTCACCAGCAAACCCACGTGAAGATGCTACTTGCAGAGGAGGGCGAGGCCAGCCACCCCAGCATCCTGCTCAGCCCAGTCTTCCGGCTGTCCCCCCAGGGCCCCATCCTGACACTCCAGCACAGGCCAGCCCCCCCTCCAGTGGTTGCAGCCCCAGTGGACATCGCGTGCAACAGAACGCCCAGCTGAGTCTAGCCAATGCACAGAATTATGACAGCGAACTGAATAGCTGTTGTTTTAAGTCCCTGAGAGCTGGGATTGTTTGTATATAGCAGTAGATGCTTTAAACATTGTTGTGTGTGTGTGTGTGTGTGTGTGTGTGTGTGTGTGTGTGTCTGAATGACAGTGTTTAGCAAGGCGCCCAGCACATGCTAAGAGCTTAATATATGGAGCGACTCTTATTTGGCTTTGTCAAAACTGCTGGTGGCTTGAGAGCGCCTTTGAGACTAATCTCTTGAACACGAGCTTCTGACAGAACGATCTTGGGAGCTGTCGGAATCATTGAAGATAGACCCATCTGATCATCAGCACTGTGGCCAGACAGGAGTCGCTCGGCATTCATTCTCCACCTGATGAGACTAAATTGGCAGCCAGGGCAGTAAAGGCAGACGAGGGGCTGAACCCACTGCCGTGAACGTGTCTTGTGTTTTGAGATCTGTGTTGCCTTTAGTCAGTCAGTGAGGAGGCTTCCTTGGCTGGGTGTCCTGGAGCTTCTTGTAGGCTCTGAGCCCCTGGGAAGGCGAACCTCCCGGGTGAGAGAGGCAGTTGTTCCCTGAAGGATGCTGGGAAGGTGCAGCTGGCCTCGCTTGTGCAGAGGGAGAGGGATGGAGGCGTTACACTGTTTAACTGGTCCCTTTGCCTCACACAGCAATCCTTCCTCCGTGGATGAGACTGACTGTTCCGTGTCCTGAAGGTCTGGGCAAGAGAGAAGGTGACCTGGGACACCTGACCCAGCTCAGCCAGGGCTACTCAAGGAGTGAGACAGGTAAAGCTCACCTTGCTTAGTCCACTCGGGCTGCTATAACAGAAACCACAGGCTGGATGGCTTATAGACAACACACAGCTATTTCTCACTGTTCTGGGGGCCGGCAGTCCAAGATGAAGGTGCCTGCAGATTTGGTGTCTGATGAGAGACCCTTTCCTGGTTCACAGATGGCTGTCTTCTCACTGAGTCCTCACCTGCAGAATTGTCCCCTGATGCACAGGAGTTGGGGTAAATCATAGTGGAGTCCTGTTATTTTATGATTAGTAAACTGAAACGCTCTTTTGCAGTTGAAAGTCATTTTCATACATAAGGCTTCACTTTCCTGAGCTATGAGGACAGAGACTTGCTGCAGTGGGGTGCAGGAACGGGCTGTCTTATTTCCCATGAGCTCATGAGAAACGAGCAGTGGCATCCTAATAAGTGAGTAAAGGTTGGCAGCAAGTAAAGTCCGATGGCTGACTGTGTCACTGAGCAAACCGAGCTTTCCTCGCAGTTTGCATATTTTTACATGAAGACAAAGTGAAAGCAGCAGTAAGAAACCTGAGTTCTGGCTGCATCACCAAAATTGCACAGTGCATCATTTCCAGCATTCACCCATTCCCTTTGGCACCGTTGGCAACTGATTTTAAAAAGTGAATAAAGTGGGCCGGCCGAGTGGCGCGGTGGTTAAGAGCTGGCTTGGGATGCCAGAGGGCCCCAGTTCGGATCCCACATATGAGGAGGGCCAGTGACACTGTCCTCTACAGCTAAGATGCTGAACAACAGCTCAACCTGGAGCTGGGCTGCCGTGAGTTGGCGGTGACGGCATAGGCGGCAGCCACCACTGCAGTGGGTTGCTATGGGCTACCGTGAGTGGCCAGCAACCGCAGTGAGCGGCCATCCAGAAGCTGGCAACTAATCTGCCTCGCCCGGGAAGAGCGCAATGATGGTGCCAACTTGGGCCAGTGCAGCGACGTCCTCCACAACTAGACTGAAGAACAAAAACAGCAACTTGTCTACCTGTCTGTTCCCTTTCCCCGATTCCCCAATGCTGTTCCCCTCTCCCCAATTCCCCAATAAAATCTTTTTTTAAAAAAAGTGAATAAAGTAAGTCGCAGAGATATGCATGAAAAGCTTGCACTGTTTAAATCTTGGAGGGGCTGTCCCTGACGATAAATTTAAATGACAGCCATAAGACAGCCATGCTTATCACTAGTTAGATTGTTTCTGGCTACGGAGATAGGAAACGCTATTACAGGATGTCTTGGTGTTCTGTGGAGACCCCACAGGAGTCTTTGGTTTTCTGTGCTGTTCCAGGGGAACAGAGCCTGAGCACCTGGCCCCAGGTTCCAGAGGACACTGTATGTGCCCCTATGTCTGCCTGCACTTGACTGATCCATTTTCCTCTTGCTGCCACGTGCTCTTTACTCTGCAGACATCTCATTAGGTTGCATTTCTTTAACGCTGTTCAGTTTGTCGCCGCATCCCTGGATGTGTCTTCTTTACCAGGAGTGGTCATTCTGCAGATTTCGAACCTGTTGAAAGCTCCCTGCCTTCGATAGAGGGCAGACAGGAGCCTCCTGCAAAGCTTCCCATGGTGCTGCGTGTCTTTACGAGAATATATGTTGGTGTATCTCATGCTGGATTGTTCTAGATCTCCCTCTTGTGGGCCATCTGTGAAATAAATCACACCAGTTTTTAAATAGATATGATAAAGAATCTTGCAGATGATCAGGAGCTGATTTCTGTGAGTCCCGCGAGTGGAACAGGACCTTTAATAGTTTTCAATTATGAAATAATTGAAATATTAAAAGTACATTGAGAATAACATAAAAATTACTGCACGGTCACATACCAGCTTTATCAAATCTTCACATTTTGCCCCATATTTACTTTAGCACTTTAAAAAATAAAAAACCAGTCGAAGGACCCTACATGGTCTCCCTGTCTGCACACACTCCCTCCCCAAGGTGACCATTGTTCTGAATTTGTATTTGTTACTCTCATATTTTTGAACTGCTCTTAAGTATATATGTATCAGTACAACACAACCTACCGTTTTGCATTTTGTAAAAGTTGCTGAAGCTCTTATGACACGGGATGCATTCTTTCACGATCTGCTTTTCTCCCTCAATATTATACTGTTGAAGTTTATCCTTGTGGCTCCCGTTCATTCGTTTTTCTCTTCCGTATTCTGTTGACTGTATGAACACCACAGTATATTTACCGCTTCTCTCATCCTGGGATAGTTGGGTGGTTCTGAATTTTCCTCACAACAAGCAAGGCTATATGGAACATTCTTCTTGCATGTCTGTGAATTTCTCCAGGGTGTATCCTGAGGGCGGATGGCTGGGTCATTATGTTTGGTTTCCTCAACATTGTTGGTATTGCCAAGTTGCTCACAAAAGGACTGTCCTCCTTTACATCCCACTGTCACCCCGAGCTCTGTGTATAGCTCTTATCTGCCCTCCCAGTGGGCAGGCAGGTGGAAGCACCGTGTTACACGCCTTGGCATGAATTCTTTCGCTTAGTAAAGACCACCAACAACCTTCTGAGGCCGGCATTAGCGTTTCCAGGGATCAGAGAGGCCCACGAGTCTGCCTGAGGCCAGGAAGACAGGAAGCAGCGGCACAGCACTGACTTTGACACAGCCTTGCCTGCCTGACCCTGAGCTGAGGTCCCACGTGGAGGTCTGCCGTGACTGGAACCACGGGACACACAGGGACGGAAGACAAGCCTTCCACAGGAGCCAGTAAGCCAGGCTGCCGAGAGCCGAGAGAGAAAAGAAGAAAGAGAGGATAGCCATGTAATGTTTCAAATAATGAAAGTCATCGTACATAAAGAGAATAGTTACCATTAATGCATACAAAGGAAAAACAATGAAAGGAAAGGTGGTGGGAAGGGAGTGAGAAAAATGGAAATTCAAGGAAGAAAAGAGGAGGAAAAGGGAAACGGAGTCTACAGCTGCCCTGGGCTCAGCCCCCCAGAGGAGGCACGATGTGCTCCCGCGCTTCGTGCAGCAGCCTGGTTCTCACTCTGCACGTTTGACCGAGTCCTGCTGGGCACGTGGCTCTGCACATTGTCTAATAAAACGTCCCCCCTTTTATTGTTCAATATAGAGAAGGAGTTCAGAAATCCAGAAACCCACAGAGCCCGACATCTAATAGGGGACATCTGCGTGACTGAAAGAGAAAAATGCTAGGGTGCTTGTTTGCATCTGTTGTTACTAAGACAAAAGAAAAAATGTAGATGATCTCTTAGAGCTGTGAATGTTTACTTAAAGGGAAGGTGACCTCCAAGACAGAGCAGTCAAAACAAACCAGACATTACAGTTAGTAATGCGACACAGGAAGTGGACAGGAAGCACCAAGTGTGGGTATGGAAGTGAAACCACTTTTTAAAAGAGCACGTCAGGAACATAGTGGATGAGGTGGGGGGAGTTTTCTTAGCACGAGTCAAAGGCTATAAATCACCTTATGTGCTCTCCCCCCCCAAATTTTTTTAAAATGATACAATACACATAACATAAAGTATATCATCATCACCGTTTTTTTTTCTCTGTGACGTAAGAATTTATTTATTTTTTTATTATTAGTTTCAGGTATACAGAATCATTTTTAAGTGTACAGTTCAGAGGGTATAAAATACATTCATGATGTAGGGGAACCGTCACTTCCATCCATCTCCAGGACTCTTATCGTGTCATCTCTACGATTTTGACTGCTCTAAATATCTCATGTAAGTGGCTTCATGTAGTATTTGCCTTTTTGTGACTGGCTTACTTTACTTAGAATAACGTCCTCAGGGTTCATTCATGCTGTAGTATATGTCAGAATGTCCTTCCTTTTTTAAGGCTGAATAGTGTTCCATTGGATGTAGACACCACATGTTGCTTGCCCACTCATTCATTGTTGGACACGTGGGTTACTTCCACATTTTAGCAACTGTGAATATGCTTCCTGAAAAAGATTCTTATTGGGCATGTAAACCAAGCTACCAACATCAAAAGTCTCCAAATAGACAATTCCTCATGAAATCGTTACTACTTTGAAGAACCTCGGGCCCTAGAGTTTATGGAGTTCCAATCTTGAGAGCATCTTTGTCTGACAGATGCTCTTGGCATCCCAGAATCCAAGTTTTGTTTATTTAATTAACTGAAGACAAAACTAATTGTCCACTCAAGAGGTCGCTGATTAACATCTATCGAAAGCAATTTCGGTATTGGATTTCCAGTTTAACTGGCCTCATTTGGCCAAATCTATTCATGGAATTTGAACCAATGTCTTAACAGTGTCTTTTTCCCCTGTTGGAGATGTGAACCACTCTAGGTCGTGGGTGTAGGCTGGTACAGGCCTCAGAACACAGTGCCGTTAGCTACTTCAATCAGGAGGTGCCTAAAAATGAAAAACAACGCCATTTTCCCTCTACCCCCAAATATTCACATTTTACCATTGCTTACCGACGCCTTTGTCTTGTGTAAGTGTTGTAGCCTTGAGTTTAATAAAAACACTGGTTTAGAATAGAAGCAGTCAGCTTATTGTTTATCAAATAAGATGGTGCTCCTTAGAGGTTAGCCAAGGAGGTTCTCCCTCCTCCCCAACTGCACACCCCCAGCCCTGGGCCCACAATAATTCCCCACATTTTAACACAGCAAGTCATTACTGTCTAATGAGAACCTCTCAAATGAAATCCCTGCTAGTGAGTTTCCTAAGATAACCGCCCACTTCCATGGGAAAATCTCACTACATGGTTACTGGGAGGAAATGATCCCCTGAGAGGATCAGATCCAAAATGATGATCTAAATGGATGGTTTGGATGGTTCAGAACCAGAGTGGATGGGGACTGGGTTCTTCGAAGGGTTTTTAAGATAAGGAAGAGCATTGGTTGGCAAGTTTGACCAATAACATATGGAGGAGCTTAGAGATCAGGATGGTGTATTGGGAAGGTCTTTCTGTAGGTCTTTCTCCCTGGAGCAAAGAATGACAGAAAGGAGTTTTTGGATAAATGAGCCCAATTTGGCTGGTTGGAGGGAGCCAGGCAGGACGGAGGCTAAGGTCACTTCATTAACTTTTGATTCCTTTTTGCTCTCCTCCCTGCTTTTGTTTCCTCAACCCCCCCCAAAAAAAAGATAGTCACACTTTGGCATTACTCACCAATTCCTTTGTTGTGTCTTAAATGTAATGATTATTTGAGAATTAATTTAGTGAATGTCTGCTAGCACCTATCATGTTAGGTACAGCATCGTGAA